TTCTGTGAATTGAATTAAAGAGCAGAGTGGCTGTTAAAAAAAAAAAAAAACAGGGGCCCTCCCTGGTGGCATAAAGGGTTAAAATGCAGCACTATGAAACTCTCCACAGCCACTGGAGCACAAGTTTGATGCCTGGCCAGGGAGGTGACTCACACTGTGGCAGACCTCTCCTGTCTCTCCAGTTGCTCCCCTCAGCAGTGTATTGCAGTCAATCTGCCTGTTCTACTCCTCGCTGTCTGGGGAATCCTCAGCACTGACACCTCTGGCCTGTACCCCTGTTTGTGTATGCATAAATAAGTGCATAAATCTTTTTTTTTTTAAATACTGCCTCTAAGTCACCTATTAATTCTGCTAGACATTTTTCTTTTCCTTAAAGTAAATTCTCCAAAAGCTATAATTCAGAGGTTGGCAATATTTTCAGTAAACAATTAAATACTTTAAGATTTTTGACATATCTCATACAATTATTCACCCCTGCAGTTGTGGCCTGAAAACCACCTTAGACTGAATATAGATGAATGGGTGTGACTGTGTTCTAGCAAAGACTTATTTGCAGATGTATGATATAACCAAGTTAATTCCCAGCACTGAATTTAACTGATATTTTACTCGTGGGAAACAACAGTTTATACAACCTCAAAGACATGATTTTTTTTTAGTTGCTAATTTGGTTTTATCTCTATTTCGTGCTTTAGGAAGACGTTTTCAAAATATTAGAGAAGGCAAGGGAATGGGAGGAACTCCCAACATAGACACAGTGGTTTGTTGGATTGTACGAGTGATTGTGTTAGTGTTCTATTATACCATATACTCTTTTGCTTTGCTAACTGCTTTATTTTTTTTTCTTTTTGAATGATAAGTACATGCTGATGATAAGAGTAATATATTTGATGATGATAAGGTAGACTTTATTCAGAACTATAGTGATAGACATAGGTATCACTGCTTTGGGGTTTTACAGTTGGAGAGAGTGAACTCAACTTCAAATACATCATAGATAAATGGGAATTTCTATGGATAGAAAATTACAAAGAGAAAATATCAAGCATAAATGAGCTTCCAGCTAAACAGACCTAAGAGGTGTGTGTGTGTGTGTGTGTGTGTGTGTGTCCCAAAAATAAAATAAGCTAAAGAAAATAAAATTTTATTAAGAAAATAGTAAATGAGGGGACCTCCCTGGTGGCACAGCAGGTTAAAGTGCAGCACTGCAAGCAAGCCAGTCACTTCAGTGGAAGTTCCATCCCGACCCCGGGGTTTACCCACATAGCCCAGCAGACCTCTCTGGACCTCCCCCGTCCACCCTCCACTCCCCTCAGTGTAATTCGTAGATCTGTCTGTTCTGCTCCCCACTCTGTCTCTGGTGAATCCCCTCACCACCCCTGCACCTCTGGTCTGCACCTCAGTTCTGTATGCATAAATAAATAAATCTTTAAAAAATAAAATCATAAATGAATCATCATAAAGGTCTTCATCCTTTTCTATATGTTTTGTAGATTGATAAGCCTATATGTAAATGAACATGCACAGTTCAAACCCATATTGTTCTAAGAGTTAACCGAAAATAGCTAAATAACCCAAGTATGAAAACAAAACAAGTAGCTTCCAGCATTTGCATTGAAGGGTGTTTATAGTGAAAGTGTAGGAAAGTTGATATTTACAAAGGATGTCAACATAGGAAATAAACCCTTTTAGCATCTCCTTCTTTCAGGGAAAAGTGTTCTCTGTTCTGGAAAACAGAATTATTTAAATAAGTAATATGTAAACAAAATATGGCATTTCAGAATGGTCCATCCATGTCATCAAGGATGTAACTTTCTGCTAGTCTTCATTTCCCATCTGAAAGGTCAAGTCTTCATCCTCACACTGTCGTTTTATGGTGTCAAGGTGATAGCCACACCTACAGAGTTTTTGCAGTCAGTAGTAATGGAGAAAAGAAAGTCAAGGACAAATTTCTTCTCCTTTTCTGCAGATGTTCTTGTTTGTCCTAAAGGATCCATCCTTAGAGAACAGGACCTGTGTCTTTTAGGTACAGTTGTGTTGTATGGCCTCCTTCGTATGCAAAGGGGAAGAGGATTCACAGTTTACTTGTCTAGATAGAGGAACTCCCACAAACACATATGAAGTGAACTTATACTCTCCTCATTTGCTTCTGGATAACAGTTGTCCTCTGCAGGCAGAATAAAGTGCCACTTTCTCAGTCCTATTACAAGGTGATGTGGCAATGGTGAGGAGAGGAGGTTACAGCCAGCTGGTTAATTCACTAAGCCTGTGTCCTGTCAGCTCCCTGACATGCCATTTATCTCCATACAAGTATTTTTCTTTCTCTTCCTGGCATCAGTAAAAATAACTACCTCATATATATCTTGTGTGACTTAATTACTTTAACAAATCTAAAGAATTAACCATGATTGAAACAAACTGAAAGTTCCATGAGTATTAATTGTTGGATTTTTCCTACCTAGATTGTTTAGCAGATTAAAAAAGAAAAAGCTCTCATAGAAAAAGGACAATGTACTTTTTATTTGTCATGAAATCACTTATTGTTAAGTAGTTAATTCTGAGGGTTCATAGAGGTGAGGGGATTGGGATTTCCTCAAAATTTCTTGACCAGGAAGCTCTCTTGTATGCTTACGTCTATGCAGGTTTTGCTTGCTTTCTTTTTTTTTTTAATGATTTTTTAAAGATTTATTTATTCATACAGAAATGGGGTACAGGCCAGACATGCAGGGGCGGTGAGAGGATTCACCAGTGGCAGAGTGGGGATCAGAACAGGCAGATCGACGAAGTACACTGCTGAGGGGAGCAGTGGGCGGGTCAGGAGAGGTCTGCCACGCCATGTGGTCACCTCCGGGGCAGGCGGGGATCGAACTCATGCTGAAGTGGCTTTAGCCTCCCAGTGTTGTGCATTAACATGCTGTGCCACCAGGGAGGGCCCTCTTTTTTTTTTTAAGGTATAAGGATTTATTTTTTTATTTATTTACACATACAGGAATTGGGGTCTAGACCAGAGGTTTGAGGGGGTGATAGGATTCACCAGAGACAGAGAGGGGAGCAGAATAGAATAGTGGATTTACTGAAATACACAGCTGAGGAGAGCAGCAAGTGAAACTAGAGGGGTCTGCTGTGCCATGTGGGTCAGCTCCCTGCTTGGGAGGGAAATGGTCTCCTGCAGCAGTGGCCAGCCAGAGCTGGATAGTGCTGAGACTCTAAGCCCTGCTCCACCAGGGCAGTTCCGGTTTCCCCTAAACTTAACACTTCCAAAGTCTCTTCCTAAGACTCCTTACCTGCAACTATGCAGGTTTTTCTTTTCACAAACCTGTGCTTTCTGGGAGAGCTCTTTCTCCCCACCTGTGTCTGCACAAGCATCCTTTACTTTCCTTTTTAAATAATGAACCTACACTTTTGAATATTTTTTTAAAATGACCTCCCAAACAGAAGCACACTTAACTGTGGCAACAGCCACATATACTGGTAAAGTGCAAAGAAGTCACATGCCACATGCCTGGGCTGTGAGTGCAGTCAGCAAAGAGATAAGGATAAATGCATAGGCAAGACTCACCAATTTTGTCTCTACTATGTAATCTTTGCCTTAAAACAAAGTCACATTTTGTGTACTTAAGAAGTTCATTTGAATAAAGAAAGGGAGGTTGGTATAGCATTTCATTCATTTTTTCAAACTGAAATGCTGAGCCACCCACATGACATCTGTTCTGCTCTGTGGGGATCAGGGGATACACAGGTGTCCAGAGCATATGAAGATACTGCTCTCTCAGAAACAACAGTCTGGCAGGCATTCCAACAAGCAGAGAAATAATTTTGGTCTCCACCAAAAGAAAGTAGTTCAAAAGTGATAGAGTATGCTATGTGGGGCTGAATACCGCCCCGCACACACGCACACCCCCTCAGTCCTGTGGAAGCCCTACTCACATGATGTCATGGTGTCTGGAGGTGGGCCTCTAGGAGGTGATTAGGGATAGAGCAGGTCTTGGGGAAGGAGCCCTCATGAAGGGTGTCCCTGTGAGAAGTGGTGCACACACACAACCCCAGGTGTACATGATGAGGAAAGCCTCATGAGCACACAGTAAGAAGACAGCTGTCAACAAAGCTGGAGGAAGGTGTTCACCTCACCGAGAACTGATCTACCGGTGTCGTCGTCTTGGCAGCTCATTGAGGATGGGTGATGCCGGGGGACTTTCCATGTCTCGGAGCTATAACTTGGGCTCGTTAGCCCAAGCCAAGAGGTGTGCCTGTCTGGAAGACAGCCAGGACAAGTGAGGTCCCTGGACCTCACCAGGGGGTGTTCTGGGCACCGGGAATAAGGACTGGAGGGGACAGAGAGGGCTCCCAGGGACTCGGACAGGTGGGGGCCGTGGGAGTGCAGGTTCATCCCTCTTCCCACAGAGCGCAGATTCCTGATCCCGCAGCCCCGTGCACGTGTAGGTGGGTCCAGCGATCCGAAATCTCTGCGTGTCCGGCTCACAGCGCCACCTAGTGTCGGTGGGACGCGGGGAGCGGCCCTGGCAGGAAGTTGGTGGGTCTGCAGCTGCGCAGAGAAGCAACAGGACCCGAGCCGGACGGGTGAGGCCGGCAGGGGGCGCTGCGCGGCCGTGGCGCGGTTGTCAGCCAGCCTCTTCCAGACTTTTCTTACAGGCGCAAGCATCCACCTGTGAGCCTGGTCTCTCTGAGGTTGCTCGCTTTCCAGAAACTCTCAGTATTTTCTGCCGTCTGCATCTCCCAGCAGAGCTCTTTCCTACTGCGTTCCCTCTACCATCTGTCGGATGTGGGGGTCCCAATAGTCAGCCAACTCGAATATTGGTAAATATTGGTAAAACTCGAATATTGTTCATATGTCCTATGCCAAGGAGAAGTAGCATTTACCGTCCCATGACATGCCTTTGTTTGATGCTCTCTTTTTTTCAGTTTATGTTTTGTTTTCTCATTCTCCTCTCCCTCTCTCTGCCTCCCTCCTGTCCCTTCTGGCACATCACCTCCAACCCAAGAACGTTGCTCTCTGAGAAGGCCAGCCCAGCTGCTGAGATTTCAACTGGGGCTCAGATTGCCTATAAAAACTGGACACTAAAAAATTCTCACCGTTTACTCTGCAATCTTCCGATGACCTCCTTCGCTGCTGCCTGTGAAAACTCGATGCTGCGGGGTGCTGGTGAGGTCCCCAACTCCTGAAGCCCATCCAGTTCTCGCCATCTTGGTGGGGAGGTAGGAGCCGGTGTGGGTAAGTGCTCGTTAGCTGACCCAGGCAATTGGCCCCTAGACCAACACTCCCGTCCCATTTTTTGTAACTGTGACTCCCTGATGCAACTGAGACCCGGCCCACATGTTTTGTAGTCCTTCTTTGTCCCTTTGAAGATTCCGGTCATCTCGGCGCACGTAGAAGTTAAGTTCAGTCCACGCTGGATTCTTATTATGACAGAAATACATTCCTGGTTAGCTTATGATCTTTTAAATTCATGTCTGACTTTGTCTTTGATAGGTATGTGATTCCATCAGTTGGACCTCAGTCACAGCCATCATCGCACCCTCGAATCTGACAAGCAAACCCGTTCAGCTGCATGAACACCCACGTCTCGGCACCAAACCCCTCTGGCTCAGTCCATACCCCGTAGTCCGTGGTGAGTGAAGCTCCCTGTCCAGTGCTTTGGACAAATGTCCATTAAAGCATGGGGAGGATAGACTGTTATTCTTACTGGGTTTACAGTCCCAGGTATCTTGTGAAGTGTACCTGTTAGGATAGAGGTCCTAGTGTTATAGGGCACCCCAATTCTGTTAGAGGACAGGGGGAGAGGAGCACCTCTGAAGCCCCAAAACCTGCCTGCTCTAAATGGGTTCTGCCATCCGCCGCAACAAGACAAAATATATAAAACTTTAATGAAAAGGGACTTTAATACAGTAAATATACAATACGGAACACAAAGAGTATAACTTCTAAATCAAACACCTGAAGTTACCCACCCCTCGTGGGCAAAAGTCAACCCAAAAGGGACTGGCCCAAAGCAAGGCCTGAAAGCCGCCACTAGACTAAAGCACTTTCTGGCCGGGACCCACGGAAAAGGGTCAGAAATGGCCAGACAAATCTGAGAGAAAAAGAGCAACATCAAAATCAATATAAACACTGCCATAGTCACCTCCCTACAGGTCTCTCACCCACATCTGCCTTAGCCAGTCCAGGGTCAGGAAACAAGCCCGGTTTCTTCATCACATGCTTGCTGCTCCATATGGCTTCCTTAGGTCTCCGTCTTGTTCTCCATCCTGCTTCATTCTCTCCTTCTCTCTTCTCTTCTCTCCTTTTTCTCTGCTCAGCTCCACCCTCCTTCTGGGTGGGGCAGGGAACCTGGAACTTCCCTTTTTCCTAGAGACCCCCCTGTTACACTAATAGCACCTTGTTTTGAATGAATCCCCTGACAACTATGTTGGAATTTTTCCTGGATAATTAATTTTATTGATATAAAATTGACATCACATGCGTTTTGGATGTACCACATAATGTTTTGATGTCAAGATTGCAAAAAGATTATCATAATATGGTTAGTTCACATATATTACCCCACATATCTTAAACTTTTATTCTTGTAATGAGAACTTTTAAGGTATCTTTTCTTAGCAACTTTTGGGCAGATATTACATCGGAAACTGTTGTTACTATGCTATGTATCACATCCCAAGACTTTTTGTGATTTATCTTACAAGTTGGAGTTTGTAGTTTTTAACACCCCTACTTCTTTTACCCTGCCTTCTGTCCCTGAAAGACCCAACCTGCTCTCTATATGAGTTCAGTTTGCAATTATTTTAAATTCTTTATGTAAGTGATGTCCACAATAGTTGCCTTTTTATGACATTGTAAACATAATGGCCTCAAGGTTTATTCATACTGTCACAAATCACAGGATTTCCTTTATTTTTTGGCTGCATGATGAGAAGGGAGAGAGAGAGAAAGGGAAAGACAGAGATTGATTTCAGTTGGATTTTTTAAAATTCCTTCCTCTGCTAGCAGTCACGTTGTTCCATCTCTTAGTTATTGCAAAAAAATGCTTCAGTAAACATGGCAGTGCAGATGTCTTTGCGAGAATGATTTTATTTTCTTTGGATAAATACCCAGAAGTGGTTTTGCTGAGCTATGTTATAGTTTTATTTTTAATTTTTTGAAAAATTTGCATACTATTTTATAAAATTGTTGGACCAATTTATATTCCTGCCAACAATACACAGTGTTCCTATTGGCACACTTTCCTCTTTCCGACATTTGCTGTTCTTCTTGTTTCCATAATTGTCCTTGGCTGTTTAATCCTGGCTTCCTGTGAAGCTTGTCTCTTCTCTTGACTTGATCCTGTTTCTAGGCCGGGAATTTCCTGCTTGACTGAAGCCCCCATTCACAAGTCTAAGTAGATTGTGTGATGCTGCGCCTCTAACCCCCTCTGCTTCTTTACTTGCTGGCATTAGTGTACAAGGGTAATCTGGAACTTCAGTGGCTTCTTGGGGAAAATTAAGATCTCCCCACACTGGGACTCTCAGGCCTCTCCTTCCCCATTATGTCTGCTTCTCCCTTTACCACGTTGGATCTTCCTCATCTTCTTTGCTTCCTTTCATAAATCCCCCTCAAGCCTTATCTCCTTCATCCCTCTGTTCTCCATCCCTTTGAAAATCTACTTCCTCAATTGTCTGTAATCATTGGAGCTTTAAGCCCCCTGCTGCATGTCTGGGACTGAGGCCTCCTCCCTCAAAAGGAACTTCCTGAGGCTGAAAATAAAAAGACTAATTGGAAATAAACAGCATAAATTATCCACTCAGTTGAGGCATTGGGGCTTCCAAAGAGCTGCTTGAGTACACCCACTCTCTTGCCTAAAATGTGGTCCATAGACTCTAAATTCCATATCAGAACCAAGGAAATATTTGAAATTCCTTTTTAGTGATGTAGCATCACATTAAAATATCATGTAAGTTTAAAGTGTAAATCTTTATGGCAACATCAGTACACACTACATTAAGATCACAACTGAGAGTCTTAATTCCATCATTTACTATATTAATGTATTCCTTTTACTTTAGTAAATCATCTACCTTCTCCTTTCCCTCTGGTAACCACTTACTTGGCCTTATAGTTTAAGGTCACTTACTTGGCCTTATTTATTTGTGCATACAGAACTGGGGTGCAGGGGCAACGATAATATTCACTAGAGACAGAGTGGGGAGCAGAACAGGTAGATCAACAAAGTACGCTGCTGAAGGAAGCATCAGGTGGGTCAGGAGAGGTCTGTCGCGCCATAAGGGTCACCTCTGGGGCAGGGGGGTGGGATTGAACTGAAACGAGCTTAGCACTGAAGCAGCTGTGGCCAGTTTTCAGTACTGTGTCCTAATTGTTGTGCCAGCAGAGTGAAATCATCTGGTGTTTGTCTTCCTTCATCTAACTCATTTCACTTAGCAAAATACCCCCCAGGTCCATCTATATTGTCACAAAGATAGTCTTAAAAGTCTCTTCCAAATAATTTTTTAAAGATTTATTTATTTATATTCATACAGAACTGGGGTACAGGCCAGAGGTGCAGGGGTGGTAAGAAGATTCACCAGAGACCGAGTGGGGAACAGAACAGGCAGACCTATGAAGTACACTGCTGAGGGAGGCAGCAGGCGAGACAGGAGAGGTCTTCCGTGCCATGTGGGTCACCTACAGGGGGGGATCATGCTCCCACTGAGGCGGCTTCTGCTAGCTTGCAGCTGCCCTCCACCCATTGTGGTAACTGGGAGGGCCTCTTGTCACTTTTTAAAAATAGATAACTAAGTCTTGCTCACAATGTAACATATCAATCTGGATTCTGCAGAGAAACAACACACACACATACACAGTGATATTCATATGTATAATACTTATATACACACGTGTAAATAGATACCATACATGTCACTTAATATATGTATACTTATTGTAGAATCTGTAGTAATTAGCACACACAATCATGGAACCAGGAAGACCCATAATCTGCAATCAACAAGCTGGAAACTGGCAGTATAATTTATCCCAAACCCAGAGAACTTGAAAGTCTTTGTTGAACACCCCAGTGATTGTTGTAAGACATGAAAACTGGGAGCTCTGGGAAAGAAAGTTTGGACTCCCAGCTGAAGAAGATATGAAATTTGCCCTCCATTGGCCTTCTTGTTCTAAATTTTGCGTCTGATTGAATGATGCCTGGCCACATAAGATTCTGATTCTCATCTTACAGAAGAGAGGTGCTAAACTATTTAGGTTTATTAGGTTTATTACTTAGGATATATTGCCAGTATCCTCATTGTCAGATTATTATGTAAAATATCTCTTACCACAGAAACAACAAATACTGGTTATCAAATTAGCTTTAACTTCAATTGGAATCATTTTTTTTGAAAGTTTGATTTTTAAAAATATTTTGTGTGGGCTCTCCCTGGTGGTGCAGTGGGTTAAAGCACAGCACTAAGAAGCTAAAGCCACTTCAGCATGAGTTCGATCCCCACCTGCCCCAGAGGTGATCCACATGGCGGCGGCAGACCTCTCCTGACCCGCCCACTGCTCCCCTCAGCAGTGTACTTCATCGATCTGCCTGTTCTGCCCCCCACTCTGTCTCTGGTGAATCCTCCAGCTCTGCACCTCTGGCCTGTACCCCAGTTCTGTATGCATAAATAAATAAATATTTTTTAAAATTTAGTTTGTTTTATGTTTTGTTTTCCAGATTAAAGGAAAACTCTTCTTAAGTGGTGACATATAGCAGCTTGCTAAAGTATACCTTCTTGAGCAAAGATGTAGAAATTTCTTTTTCTCCCCACTTTGTCCCTCCAGAATTAAAAACTCTTAGTCAAAAGTCTTACATTTTTGACAAAATAGTTATGTGTATGCTTTCAACAGCAACAAAAATCTGTTCTCCTTGTAGCAGGATGCTTTGGGAAACAGTAGTTACACTGTGTCTGGAGTGTTGAATTTAAGAATGATATGCATCGAGTCAGATACAACAGATGGCTTTACGGAACTGAGGTTGACTTTAAGGTACCAAAGCTTACAAAAAGGCCCTTTAATTTCCTTTTACTTTTGGTTGACATGTGCAAAAAATATATATATCCTAGGGAATGATAGTGGATTATTGCACACACAGCATGGTAATGACTGTACCAGATGTAGTTTTATTGATAGAGCAAATTCACAGATAGCCTGCCTGCTAACCTGGAATGCAGCTACTGATCCAGCAAATATCTTTATCTTCATACCTCACCTTGACACTCACCAGAAGCAGTTTCCTTTCAGTTTCCTTTCAGGCAAACAGTATCCTTCTGTATCCTACCTCAAGTGTTGCTATACCTCAGGGTGTATCAACTCCTCAGCCCTGTGTAACAGTGTATTTTACATGGATGTTGACTGACTTCCCTTCCAGTCAAACTTTGTTATTATGACTGTGTTTCCCAGTTGTGTCTCTTGTTTCAAGGAGGTGAAATTCTTGGTCATCTTTCATAAGTAACTATTTTACTAGAACTATAATACTTGCTACCAGTTTTATAATTTTGGTGGGATCAGGTAGGGAAAAAAGTATTTTTTGTATCTTAGTTTAAAAATGTGTATTTTA